TTAAAATATTTATTACTACAATTTGTTAAGGTTTCTTTTATTTAACGTATACAGATTATTATATTGTTATAGAAACAGGTGATGGTAAAATTTTATGAAATATCAATAAATAGATAAGGTTTCTCGGGCAGATGAGGCTCATTAGCTGGGGACAGCCACTCTTCTAGGAGAGACAACTCCAAAATTAAACAACTGCTGCCTTGTAGTTTGTTCTTGGTTGGACAAAGGCTATGGAAGCAAATCCAAAAAGAAAAGCAGGCTGAAATCGGAGTCAATGGCCTCAAGGGCGCATAACCAGTTGACACGTACCGCTTAATTGTGTTGGAGGCGTGGTAAAAGCTCATGGTTGATAAATTCGAACAAAGTCTCGAGTTCAAACCCACTGGCAGATAAATTTTGATCCCCTTCAACACTAATAATTAAGAACGAAGAAGAACAAAGAAGAGATAAGGTTTCTAAGATAAAAAATATCCACGTGCATTTTACTTTGTTTCTTTTGTGTGTCTTTTATTAACTGTTTGTGATTAATAGTTACTTCCCTTTACTATATTCCATTCAAGTACGAACATCTATCGACGGAGCCATGATGTCTATGACTATTATACAAATGAATCTTTCTTTATAAACTTTATCCATAATAGGACAAATAAAATGAAAATGGTATATAGCAGTTTATATTTATTTAATCTTACTTGTTATTTACATGTCAAATATGTAATACCAATTGCAATTCTATATCTAAATGTATATTTCTATTCAGTGGCGTCGCTGGGTCGGGTGTAACCGGTGTGTGGCACTTAGAGTGTCACTCCCCCCCCCCCTGAAAAAATCTAAATGTCCTAATCCGGTTTTTTTTCTCATATATTTTTTCATGTTTATTAATATTATGCAAACTAGCTTCCAATTGCTTTTTGAAGGCATATTAGCTCTGGAATTATTGTATTGTTTTTAAAATGTAACATCATACATTGAAAAGTCTATGTAATCTTACTAAACTTAAAATACAATCTTTAAAAAAAATATGGGTGTAGGTAATGAGTGAGGGTGGGGTGAATGTTGTTTATACTTTGTACCAGTGTTCCCTCTAAGCTGCGCGGCTGCGCGGCCGCGCAGTACTTTCAAATGTGCCGCGCAGACATTTTCTGACCCCGCGCACAGATTATCAGAACGTCGGGCTAGCCTGATTCACAAAAAAAAATATGTGGCCAGTGGTTTGAATTAAGCGACATTTTTATTGCCTGTTTTGTTAAACGAACAATCTTTGTGTTTTGATGCATAAACAGAAACCAAGGGGTATCATTGACTTGGGGGGGGGGGGGGGGGTGTGACCTTGGTTGTCATACCACAGGTCCAGTTAATGACTTCACTCTAAACTGAGCGGGGCGGGTACCGATGTGATGTCTGGGTGACCCTCCCTCTGCTTGATTTAATGGTTTACTGACACCTAATACCGGAAAGGGATTGTGGCTACTAGCTGACCATGCAAGGTTTTATTTTCTATTGTCACTGCCCTCCCCCATCTCCCAACCACCACCACCTCCTGATACTAAGACGGTTTACCCAAGTCAGATGTAAAATCTACTTTACTAAAGGTGGATGTCTTTTTTTCTGTTTGGTTTAAGGATTTATATACTATATATCCAATTCTTGGGATTATTACGTGCACCTGGATCGAACTGTTTCAGTATTCACAGACTGGTTAGGTAAATCAGGAATAAATGTCCACTACTGTGTGCTATTTGAAAATGTTGAAAAGAAAAATGTGTGTAACAAGCAGTACAACAATGTGGCACAAAAAAAAAGCGATAGATTCGTTTAAACTGGAATGGCTCAAAGTTATAGTAACAACCGATACGCCATATCATATAATGTTTCGGTTGAATTAGAAAGCATCTACGAATATTCAGATGAGATTGGACTGAAGTGTAAGTTCTGTGCTGCTACTACTTGTAACAAAACCAACATAAACAACGAATTGGTCACAGGAAAGCTCTGGGAATCATGGGCGCTTGACTACTGTAAACGTCAACTATTGTCTCTCGTTTACGTAGGAAATGTTGCGATTTCGTACAACAGCTCACATGGAACTGACCTTAAACGTCTGCTGGTTGAAACTTACATTGAGCGAGGAAAACTAATTGAGCAAAACGAGCGCCAGCGATCAAACGAGGATAAAGTTCGAATCCTAACGGATAATGTTCTTCTTATCATTAAGATGAACGCCTCGATGCGGTCGGTACAACTGATTCATAACCACATGGGGAAGTAGGTTTCTATACCAGACAGTTGGCGAAGTAAGAACTACATCTTTGAGTTTGTTTAAATAATCAACGAGGTTGTTGTAAAGAACATACTGACAGAACTTCGAGCAGCATCATTCCACACGCTTATAGTTGATGGCATAACAGTACATAAAATGCTAATCCTTTATTTTAAATTTCGTCCAGTCAATTCTGTATTCTACAAAACCATTTTTAGTGGAATAACTCAGCTTACTGCAAGTGATGCCCTTAGCTCTGGAGACAGGCGTAACACAGCACTACACTGAACATTAAAGCCAAGAAAAGTGTGAGTTAAACGAAAGAATCGACACAAGGCAAACCACACAGTACATACAATCAGTCTGCGACCATTTAAATGTTAGGTTTCTAGGAGATGAACTGCAGTTTTTGTCATCTTTTTTTATGCTACAGGTTTTAAAAAATATGCATTTGAGTTCGGCGTCAAAGATATCAAAGAACTGTGCGTAAAGTACAAAGACGGGTTACGTACAACAAATGATCAGTTAATTACCATCCAATACAATGACTTCAAATTTCGATAAAGTGAAAAACTCAAATCTGTTTCTGTAAATTATATGTCTGAATATGCAAGATTTGTCAAAACAAATAACAAAATTTAGCTCACTGGCAAAGTTAAGTGACATTATTGTACCTTCCAAGCATGCAGTGCTGATTACGAACAAGGTTTTAGCCTTATTAACATAATAAAAGTGCAAGCATGAAATAGACTTGAAGCCACACATTTGGAGAATCTGATGCAAATTAAATTATATCTAAATGCTGGAGAGTATGTGGATTTAAACAAAGCATATAAGGTGTGGAAGCAATGCAAGGTTAGACGCGAGAAATTGCAATAAATGCCCCTGAAAGGTTAGCTAATATTTGTTTTTAAGTCAGCTTTATTAAATGTTGCATATGTTAAACTATTGCGTTTGTATTACCGTTATGGTATTAGCATTATTACCATATGACTGTCTTACTTTAACATAGTAAGTCGACCATATAACTTGTTGTCTAAGTATAACTGAACGTTTTTATTAGTTTTTTATTTATTTTGATGGTATTCGTATCTCCATTTAATTGCATACGTTTCATAAGTCACACACATTATACTATTAATTTATCAAAATGCATGCCTTCATTATTATGCTTAATTGCAAGCCTAAACATACATATAAAGTTGCCCAAGTCATTTTTAGCACCGCGCACACAACATATTTTTTGCACACACACTCTGGGTCCTTAGAGGGAACATTGCTTTGTACCCTATCCCGTTCGTCCCTATTCAAAGCTTGTGCTGTGAGTCTAGACAACCAGCTGGTACCTGTTTTCTGTCACGATATTTAAGGTGTGTGAGAACGATTGTCTCAGTTTAGCTGGGTTCTCCAAACAAGGTTAGTGTAGGTTAGTCCTGTGCTTTAGATATCTTTGTTTGTGTACTAGCGTGTGTATTAAGAATAGCCTATAATTGTAGATATTATTAAACTGATGTATTGTTATTGAGCCTTTGTTTTATTTACTCGTGTTTTGTAACTTCTTGGTAGTTTGTTTTGTCTTATATTCTGTTTATCCGTGTGTTCACAACTATGCCATATTTTTGTATCGATTATAAACCGTTGAAAAGCCGTTTATAATTGTTTTATAAATTTATAATAACTACCCACAACCCCTTCTTGAAGTCAACTGGAGTGGCCAAGGAAAGTAAAATAATGAGAGATTGAGAGTCACAACAATTGTTTTTCATGATAAAATACACAATTGCTGTCAGTGGGGTATAGCCTAGTTTTTTATTTATATTAAATAATATAACATCGCCACAACAATCTGACTCTACTAATCCAAATTAAATGACATAAGTGTTCGGTAAACTACTATTATATTACTTGTAATTATTTGGATAATAATTTTTAGTCTTAACATAACCAGGTAGTTATTTTGGACTAATTTCTCAAATGTTATAAATCTTCAATTTCTTGCAACAACCACTTGGAGCCATCTAGAACCAGATTTTCTAACCTATTGTATACATAATTTGTATTAAACTTATCGGAAATGTAGCGCTTACTGAAGTTGTTTTAGTCTCACCCTGCTGCCATAGATCCCCAAATCCTAATCCGATTATTCAGTTCTACAATTTTTGACATCCAATACAAGATTCATTTTCCACAATATTAAAGGTAAAAACAAAACAAAAATGTGATTACATTTGAACACAATAAAGATGTCTAAAGATTATCTTAATTCAAATATTAAATTATTAACAATGTTTACACCCAATTTAATTCAGATCTTCCAAATACATGTGTACTTGTATATCTTGGCATGTGACCTTATTTGAATGTAGCTAAGCTAAGGGAAATAACCAGCGATACATTTAGCAAAAGTAGTTATATAAAACAGTGAATAGAAAATGGTACAAAAGAAAACTCAATAGTAATTATGTGAATGACTTAGAAATAAAGCTGATTATATTTTGTCAATTGTAATAACAGTAGTTAAAATGTAATTTTAATTATATTATAAATAACTTGAAAATCTATCCAGTAAATAGTACAATACTATTTATGTATTTAAATATCAGCATACATGTTTGTTTACAAATAGTTTAACCTAGATGTACGTGTCGCCACCTAATGTCAGGGGTGGCTACTCTGCGTAGCAATATTGACCATTGTTTGTGGCGCCACCTACCGGCGCTTTCTGAAAAATACCGCCCATTTTTAAAATAAAGATGGTAGCTGATTTTCAGATGCCGCTTGCATGGTAATATTCATTCAGGATGATTTTAGATACTGATGTCCGATAATAGACTCATCCATAAAATAGGTGTGTTGGGTTGTTAGATGTAGATGTAGATCTAGTAGTATTGCAATCTCGGCTAGATCTACTCTAGAAGTAGGCTTTTCGACTCGCCGCCGTCTTGCGATCCAAACTACATCCGGACTTTTTCATGCGTACTTGAAAAAATTCGCCATTCCGATGAATGCTATTTCTTTATTCTAGCCATCATAATCGAAAAATTAAATATATACGATACTATCATATGCGTTGAATTTTATCATTTAAATGTTTCAATGATAGAAGTAGCTGCCATTTTACAATACTCGATACTGAAAGCAACCTAACGATGATAGCGAAAATCTATGGAAACCGCGCAGTACCGAACCGCTACTTTCGGAACAAAATTCCGTCTTTAAAAAAGAGAATAAGTACAGGACAGGAGCCTAGTAAGTAATGCCAAACCATTTTGATGGATGGAAATGTTGGTTTAATGGGCTTTAGAGCTCTTTTTATAGGAGATATTGCTTCTTGCGTGAAGTTATATAGATATCTAGATCTACGCAATTTTAATAATGGCGGCCGAGTTAGGATTTTCATGACGGCCCATAGGCATGAAATAGAAAATTCGCACATTATTGCTGTTTAACAGTGTTTATTGGATTGGCAAGATCTAAGCTTATAAAATAGGTTTTTTTTTTTTAAATAAAATTTAAAGCATTGGAATTAATAGATCTAGTCCCATTCATTAATAATCTTCCATATTAGTCAAGAGGGTAAAGTAAATACTAGATCTAATAGGCTATTGAAAAAATAATTAGGCCTAAAATTTTAAATTGGTCCTAGATTCCTCTAGATCTAGATCTAAATAAATATTGCTCTCCAGTCGAAAGTGACAAAAGTCTAAACTAATTCCATTTAAATTTTAAACTTTTTATTAGTAGTCTATAGCCTAACCAATGAGTAGGCCTAATATAAAAATCAAATAGAAATAATAGCCTAGGTAAAATATAGACCACTACAGTGTATAGTACTAGATCTATACTATAGAGGCAATGGAAATTTAAAAAAAAAAACTAAGTCAAAGATAAAATAGGAACATTTAGCACTTTAACAATGTGATCTAAAGCAACAGTAATACATTTTTTTAAAAGTAAAAAAGAAAACAGAAACAGTAACACTTTGAACAATGTAATTTAATTTTACTTAAAAATAACAAACTAAACAACAGTAGGCCAAATGTTTTTTATATAGATCTAGTAGGTTCTGACCAGCAAATAAGGCAGCTGTATATCCTTTGGTTGCCACACACCTCGTCTAGTTTCTGTTACACTATTTATTGATTAGCAATCCTTGGCTACTTATTAGAGAAGCCTACAACTAATGCTACTAATATTTAGATACTTCAGCATAATCCTAAACATATAATATTTCAGTATGAGTATAATACCCAGGTATTATTGATGCAAAATTTCAGTCCCACCCCCTTAGTTAGACTTCATTATATTTGATTTTCTTTTTCTTCTAGCATGTATTAAATTTAAAAGTTTCTATTTCCAACATCCTTAAGCATCTATGTGCTAAGTTTTATCTTTATATCATCAATAACAACATAGATATGCAGTGTGAAAAGTGACTTGTGACAATGATTGTAGAACTGCACCACACACCTTAATTGGGCTAAAATAAGTTAATTATAAACTCTTTTCCTTTAAATTGATCTTTATTTCACTTGCATATTCCTGTTGTCTACACTCTCTCGCATCAGTATGAACATTTTTTACATTATATGTTTAATAAAAACAATGTTATACAAACCCAAAGAAGGGCACTAAATATTTTGCAACTTTACTTGAACATATAAGCTGTAAACTTTAAAAATTCATATAAAAAACTACTGAGCCTAGAATGATAATTTTTGTAGTTTATTAAATGGCAGATCCTCTTCTTGGTTCTATGTAAATTTTATCATTTCGTGTTAAATAGAAACATTTTTACCAAAATGCCTATACTCTAGCGATGCTCACTAACTTGAAAGCGTCCTTGGTTGGGTAAAATCACGATATAGCGTAGGAAATTATTGGGTAATGTTCGTTTCGATAACATTCGTTAGTGTAAACCATAGTTTATTTAACCGTTGAAAGAAAAATAAAGTCAAGTGCATTAAATTTATGTAATAACTTAATTTAATGTTTAACTCACAAAAAATAAAGCAACAATTAGTAAATCTAAAATCTAAATATTATTACTAAAGTCGAGTGTAGTAATTAATGTTTTTTTTAAGAAACACTATAAAAAACCTGCAGAAGATTTGCGACAACCAGCTCTAGTAGTCTAGTTCTGTTAGTAAAATAAATAAGACGATTAGATTTACTAAAGTTAAGTAAAGTTTACTAAAGTAGTAAGAAGAACTAGAATAATGTTTAGTAGCTGCAATAATTAGTACATACACTTAAAATAATTAGAAATACAAAGTAATTAGCAATACAGTATTTAAAATGCAACTAAAATCAATCCTTGCACATTTTGAAACATTATGTAATAAAACCAATGAGCCGACCCACGGTCATACGTCACTATTTTTAGTTTTAATTGTTGTTTTTTCAACTTTTCAGTAATTCATAATTTGTGAATTCGACAGTACCAATGCTGCCACTGAAAATATTTGCTTTAAAACACTAAACCCCCATTCCCCCCCCCCCCCCCCCACCCCGTGAAAGCAGCCTCCTCTTAGTTACCTCTTCTAAGTTTAAAATAGTTTCAAACTATAAATTATCTGCCCCTAACAGCCGTCACTAAACCCGGCTCTACGAATATAAACAATTAGCGTGAACCACAGCTTACCAGACCATGGGAGGGGGGGTGGTAGCGATAGAGAGGAAGAGAGGGGACTGCTAGGCGCGCTTGCAGCTTGTTTTCTAACGTCTCCTAGAAGAGAATTATATATATAGATATAAAACTAATATGGCGGCAAATAAATGATGGTTTACAGTATTTCTGGTGGTTTCCGGAACGGCTCGACAGACTACGCCATGGTTTTACTGTATTTTACTGCTGTACAATTCCAGAATAATAACCGACGCTATATCGTGATTTTACCCTTGGTTGCTAACCAGAACATGGCTACCACACCTTGGCCTACGATTGGGCAATTTTTTTCTGCGTTGTTCGAGAGACCACCTTAACATTAACTTTGAAAATAAATATCACGCGAAAAATGGCGTATTTTAAGCTATCTGAAGATGAGAAAGCTATTTTTGCCAGAAAAAAAAATTAAATTTGCTCCCAACAATGTAGGTCAAACGTAAACATGGGTATAGTTTGAGTTGTTTAAAAACTTTAAATAATGGTCTGTAAGGTGTCCAAATGGCACTGTAAGGTAGGGTATTATTAGATTGATCGTTTAGTGAAAAAATATTGTAATTATTTTGTATCCATTTTAAGAAATCAGCATTCCAAAAAGGTCAATGAAAGCACGTAATTTTTTATTGTGACGTCATCGCTATTGTTACGGAAGCTGTACAGTAGTATCCTCTCGCTGCTTATATAATTGTGTTTTCTTTTCACTTGACACTCTTTTTCAGCTTATTTTGCTAGCGTAATTAGATTAATTAAGCCTAATTAATAAATTATGGATATTTTACCTGGCTTTTGGATTATACTATGACTCTAAAAGCCCTTAAACCACAACGATCTGTTAATTTTTTTTTTATTTTGTGTTGATCCCTGGACTTTGTAGTGAGCGTTGGTCTTTGTGTGCTTATTTAGGCCTAATTATTTGTTTTCAAATTTGTTATAGCTTAATTAATTTGTCTTAATTCGTATTGATTTCCTAAATTTTAATTAGGCTAATTATAATATTATTTTCACTGGTCTGCATTGAAACATTTTTAGGCTTAATAATGTTTATATTATTAAGAATTTAGAGGCCTGATTAATTAAATGATTTTAGCGTTTGGTCTAAGTTTACATTACTAATTAGTACTTAGTAAACCAAGTACGCATTGCCTAGGACATGAATGTGCTGTGCCCGCGTTGTGGCGGGCGGTGCCTCTCTCGCTGAAAAAAACAGCAAGCGAGTCGTGTGTCACACTTGGCCTGTGTCGATGTTTGGAATGCATAGGCATAGGCCTAAATAACGCTCTCGGGTGATCAATTCAATTTAATGCGCTGACATTTTAAAAATCAAATAGACACACATCTTAATTAAATACATTTAATTTGAACTTTATATTAATCTAGGCCTACAATACTAATTATAACTTGAGATAACAAAGCACTTGGACTAGATTTAGCGCATGCTCACACTGTGCTGTGAGTTTTCTCTCGCTGGTTGACAAAAAACGCAGGCGGGCTGACGATGTTTGTAATTTACCCATAGGGCCTATCTTCGCTCACATGCAATCATTTTAATGCGATTGGCCTCTTTTTATTTTATAGGCCTGATTCATTGTATTTGATAGGCTAACTTTTCTGGTTGACAAAACTATGCGAGCGAGATGTCTGTCGCGCGCACTGCCCGTGACGCTGTTTAGAAGGCATTTCTCGCTGACTTGATCAATTTTAATGCTATTGCAGTTTTTTTTTTAAATAAATCAAATACTTACAAATCTTTACAATACTTTAAACTGAGCAACGACAAAACTTTGTAAATAACACACCTGTCCCAAGTCAAACGAGAGAGGAGGATTAGATTCATTTTACAATGACATCTCTATATTTTATGTATTGTCCTAATTAAGCATTTGCTAAAACACACTAGTTAATAAAACATGCATGTGATTGAATATCTTTGAACAGATTAGATCTGTACTATATATTCTTAAACATGTTTTTCATTAATTTGGGTTTAGTTTTCTTTTTTAAACACCCTTCCATTTAAAAAAAAATTAAATCAAATATTAAAAATTTCTAGAAATAGATCCAATTCCATCATGTGATTTTTATTCTGACGAAAACAGTGTCCATACGAATAGAAATGTGGTAATAAAATCAACAGTACTGTGCATATTCTGCTAAAATCAAATCAGCTGCAAGGTCCATCCTGCAGAGTTCTCCTTTTCAGATAGACACATGGTTGTCACGGTTTTTTTTTACTTGCAAAGCTGGGAGTGGCCAATTAATAAAAATCAGTAATTAAGCTCCAAATGAGTTTATCATCAACAAATTAAGTATTTGATTGATTTAAGATTGATCTTAAGTTTTCATTGGTAATGTTTACGTCGAAAAATAACAAAATTTATAAGTTAGTGAGCATCGCTAATCTAGTCTAGTTAATCTAGTTTTATTAGGCCTAGGCCTATTTATTATAATTATTATTTTATGAATGATTAGAAACGTTAGGCGTACGACAGTAGGACTAACTACTCATAGTAACTGGGGTTGGGGTTTGGGTTAAGGACAGGGTTAGCATTGACATCAGCCAGCAATGTGTTTATTTAGATAACTACCAGTAGGCCGTTCGATTCAACGCTTTGATTCATTTTCGTGGCATCTCACGGCTCATGCGCTTACTAAAATGGCTACCAGTTTCGCATTCACTAAACTGTAGAGGGATAAAACTATCGATTACAAGGCTATCATTAATTTTAGAAAACGGAACTATCCGATCTATTTCAGTCTGTTATTTAAGAATTCCCAGTTGTACTTTTGACCTATTGTTTTTTTTTTCTCGCAAGCAGCACATAAGTGAAAATAGCTCTATGTAATCTTGTCTTTTAAATCAAATAACTGAAGTATTGCTTTAATCATAAACCAGCTTATGTGAATCATAAACTTTAAAGTATTAATTTAACACACATTACAATTAACTGGTAATAATTTATGCCATTTTATTGTAATCTTTTTTGGTGAAAACAAGGCGTGGGAAAATGTGTGCTGCGCAAGACAGATTTATGTCTGATTTATATCTAGATTTATGTCTGTTTTTTATCATACCTGAAAATAGAATGTTTACTAAAATTATGACTTAATTAGTTAGGTTGCATATTTTGTACCTTGGTATACTTACCCTTTATCAATTTTCAAAAGCATAGCATGCTGATTGTGTATAAATAATAAATATAGTCATAAAACACAGGAATATAAAGTTCAAATTGACAGTCAGTGATAGTGAAAGAGTAGTGATAGCTTTTAACATGATTTACTATAGCCCATTCACGTTAGGCTGCGACAGAAAGCTCCTTCCTCAACCTTGTATTAAAGCTATATAGATAATTAAATAATAAATAAAAAGGCTAGAGTTAATAATATTGATTCAATATTTTTGTTCATCTAGTCTATTTACTATTTAAAGTGTCTATTTGCAGTCACCTGTTGAACTAGGACTAGCCGTATTAAGGCTACTCGCAGTCGTGACTGTTTTGTTTTATGCATATAATGTTAAAATGTTAAAAATGCCCAAATGTTCATGAAGCTGTGTGGTAATCTATACTTCATTCCCCAGTCACAATAAATGCTTTTATCGTAAAATATTAAACCTATTCCCAATTGTATATGGTAAAAATGACAGTTGACTGTGAATAGCCGTGGATGCTATTCCTAGTCTGCTGGAAATAACCGAAATAGTGCTTTTTCCAACCAGGTGGGAATAGCCTTGGCCTTTACTATTTAGTCTCTAACTTGAAAAACAATTGCTACATACAATAGTTGAATGTAAATAATTGAATTGAATACAGAAATTTTTTTTTTGCAAACATGTTCCAAGCGGACAATGACATTGGAAAAGTCACTAAATGCAGACTGTATTTTGTGGCAGCAACATTTTTTTAATAACTTACAGGCCTAAAAGAATTATCTAAGTTCAATAAATGGGGAACTAATGAGAAGATATGTAATATTTTTTTGCTCAATAGTTTTTGCACCTAAAAAGCTATAAAGCACAAAAAAGACAAACAGATCACATGACTGTTGACCATGCAAGTATATATTTAGGAATTACTAATATTTTTTTTAGATACTTGAATAATGTATTATACGGAAATACTTTTTTTATAGCCACGAACAATAGTGAAAATGCATCATTCATATATCCTCTCATATCTTGTGGTTATATTTTGCTTCTATTTGTAGGCTTACATATTTTTAGAATTTTTTAATTGAAGTGTATATTTTAGAATTTTCAAGAGAAGTTTATTTAATTTAATATATTATTATTATTTTTACTAATTATTTCGAGTGCTGCATGGTAGAATCACTAGTGTGAAGAAATATCAAGTATGGGTTTTGCAATTAAAACCTGTTTTAATTGAGTTTATTTTGTTATTAGTGCTAATGACATTAATGTTATTTTATTAATTCATTATATCTTAATTAAGTTTAGGGTCAAGGGTTGGGTTAAGGCTAGGTTAAAAGGTCAGGGCTAGAATTGTCTAAGAAAATAATATTAATTTTTTTTTCAATACAAATATTAGGAATTTTAGCTGAATTAATGAAATAATTATATTTTAACATATAAAATGTATCATTGTTTTTCATCTGCCAATTAAGTGTTATGTTCTAAAAATATGCAATATCTTTTCTCATTTTTCAAAGACATAAACGCTGTTCTTATTTCCTGTCAACCAAGTGACAATATATATAACCTTGACTGGATGTGATAGGATCTAAGCACATTTGGTAATTCCTCAATCGTTATCCAAAAAAAGCAGTACTGGATTACAAATTTGTATTTTTTTTAAGAATATTTAGAAAATATTAATATGCAGTCCTAATCTTATGACCTTGGCATTACTGGCAATCTATTTTTAGATCACATCAGACTGAGTGAAAAGATTAACAGATCTTCTGCCATTAATTTTGCCATTTTTATAATAATACTTTATTCTGACTTTATAATCACCACTTTTCCATTTAACAGTTAAAACATTTTTAATCATCAGTTGATTTATAAAAAAGCAGTCAAGAATGGAAGAGGAAACAGAGCATTTAGCTGCAATGTTGTCTATTGTAGATGAACAGTCACACAAATTAACAGAAGATTTGAAACCAGATCTATCAACAATATTTTCATCTTCTCAAGATATAAAAACAGAATTTTCAACATTTTCATCTATGGTTGATGCAAAACCCAACTTGACATTCACATATTCTCAAGATGTTAAACCATATACTACAACAGAATTTTCATCTTCTAAAGACACAGAAACAGAATTTTCAAGTTTTTCATCTCTTGATAAATTTACACCCAACAAAATGTTTATAAGCTTGCAAGATGTTAAACCTGATGTTACAACTGAGTTTTTAATTTGTAAAGATAAAAAGCCTGCTGTATCAACATTATCAACATCTGAAGATAACAAATCAGAAGTCACAACTTTATCAAGTAGTAAAGATTCAAAACCAGAATTATTGACAGGATTTTTATTTTTTGAGGATAAACAACAAAAAGGGCTTGAACTTCAAGTTGAAGAAAATCTCCAGTTTTCTAGAGACAAAAGATATCAGATTGTTTCTAGTGTCAAACACAAAAGGTTTTCTCAAAGTTCTAACTTTAAAAAACATAAAACAGCTCAAGACAGTGAGAAGATAAATTTATCAACTCACAAAAATGTTCATTCTGGAGAAAGGCCACGTGAATGCGATGTTTGTTATAAAAGGTTTACTCGAAGTTCTGGCTTAAGTGATCACAAAAAAATGCATACAGGAGTAAAGCCATATGAATGTGATGTTTGTCATAAAAGGTTTTCTCTAAAATCTAATTTAAGAGCACATAAAAAAATTCATTCAGGAGAAAGGCCACATGAATGTGATGTTTGTCATGAAAGGTTTTCTCAAAGTTCTACTTTGAAAACCCATAAAAAGGTTCATTCAGGAGAAAGGCCACATGAATGTGATGTTTGTCATAAAAGGTTTTCTACAAATTCTAATTTAAAATCACATAAAAATGTTCATTCAGGAGAAAGGCTACATGAATGTGATGTTTGTCATAAAAGGTTTTCTCAAAGTTTTAATTTAAGAGCACATAAAAAGATTCATTCAAGAGAAAGGCCACATGAATGTGATGTTTGTCATAAAAGGTTTTCTCAAAGTACTAATTTAAGAAAACATAAAAAGGTTCATTCAGGAGAAAGGCCATATGAATGTGATGTTTGTCATAAAAGGTTTTCTCAAAGTACTTATTTAAGAAGACATAAAAAGGTTCATTCAGAAGAAAGGCCACATGAATGTGATGTATGTCATAAAAGGTTTTCTAAAAGTACTTATTTAAGAACACACAAAAAGGTTCATTCAGGAGAAAGGCCATATGAATGTGATGTTTGTCATAAAAGGTTTTCTCAAAGTACTTATTTAAGAAGACATAAAAAGGTTCATTCAGAAGAAAGGCCACATGAATGTGATGTATGTCATAAAAGGTTTTCTAAAAGTACTTATTTAAGAACACACAAAAAGGTTCATTCAGGAGAAAGGCCACATGAATGTGAAGTTTGTCATAAAAGGTTTTCTCAAGATTCTAATTTAAGAACACATAAAAAAATTCATTCAGGAGAAAGGCCACATGAATGTGATGTTTGTCATAAAAGGTTTTCACAAATTACTAATTTATTAAGTCATAAAAATGTTCATTCTGGAGAAAGGCCATATGAATGCGATGTTTGTCAAAAAAGGTTTTCTGAAAGTACTAATTTAAGAAAACATAAAAAGGTTCATTCAGGAGAAAGGCCACATGAATGTGATGTTTGTCATAAAAGGTTTTCTACAAATTCTAATTTAAAATCACATAAAAAGGTTCATTCAGGAGAAAGACCACGTGAATGTGACGTTTGACATCCAAGGTTTTCTCAAATTTCTTGTTTATCTTCACACAAAAAAAATTCATTAAAGAGAGAGACCACATGATAGTGATATTTATCACAAAAAGTTGACTCGGAAGTATAATGTGTTATGATTTTTGTGTTTTTACAGGTTATAAGCCATATGTATGTATAAAAGATTTTCTCAAAGTTCTTATTTAAGTGCTCTTGAAAAAGTCATTCAAGAGACAAGCCACATTAATCTGGTATTTGTCAGAGATTTTCTCAAAGTTCATTCAGGAGATAAGCCACATGAATGTTTATGTTTGTCACAAAAGATTTTGTCAATTATCTAATTTAAATACTCATCAAAATTCATTCTAAAGGTAATCCAGGAAATTCATCATGACTAAAAACCAATTTAATATAATTTTTAACATCAATAATTAATTCTAGAGCAAATTATTATTGAATATCTTGTTATAATTTTTTCTTCACATAACTTTAACTAGGGTCATCGAATAGTGGGCCATAGTTTATTAATTTTAATATTTGTATTATGAAAAGGTTCTTTTGTCAAAGAGTATACCATGTCAATTATTATACATACTCTAAAAAGAAATTGTATTCTGACTGTAAAAGGAAATAGCATTCTATAATGTCAGCTGCATGTGTACAATTTTTTTCTTTATGTAGCCTACTTTTTATGGGTGTTATCTGTAAATGTGTATGATAGGAGAAGTAAGCTATAACTTTTAGAAACCCAGGGTTTTATTTTTATACCCGCATGGTTTTGTTTACATTATTAACAATAACAGAAGCTAACTAAAATAAAACACAAAGTTCAATTCATTTATTTACATTTACTAGATGTTTACAATAAATGTAGGCCCTACTGTTACACAATCCTAATTCTTAACTTAACACATTTACACTATTCACAAACAGCTCCGTCAGACATACAGGAACATGACAGAATATCAGGTTGACAGGTAAAACAACCTGCATTAGAGAAGTACAATGACATCAGGCCAGCAGTCACAGTGGCATCTGGCCAACAGGTACAGTGACATCAAAACTTCTGAGCAGACAATCTTTTTTTATAAACACTTTTTCATCTTTTGCTAAATGACCTTAATCATTATATTGAGAGGTATAGAATCTTAAATCATATGATCAAACTCAACTGTCTGCAATGTATAACTCATACAGACCATATGTAAAAACTTACTGCCCCAAAAAATTTTTTATTCCTATATTTGTCCTTGAAATGTATGTATTGTCATCACTAATGCAGATTTTATTGTAAATTGAATTGAGATTGAAATTTAAATGGTAATTTAGTACCTGGATAAATTAAAAATAAATTTAAAACTTCTACTTGCATTGTTTGACATTATTTTATTCATCCCATTTAGGATCCCTTCCTCCCATCATTTATATGTCTTATGGAACTAACCTCAAGTTTAAAGTTGCTCCAACCAATGCTAAGTCTTATGGTCACTTCCTTACTTTTGCTAGATGAATGTTTTTTTATTCAATTAAATTAAATGCATTTGTAACATGTTGTATAGGCCTATAGATTTTATCATTCTGCACTCCTTCTCAAATGAACTTGATGCCAAACCTCAGACACCTCTCTACATGCAATGTGTTTAAAAAGAGTACAACATAATTATCTTCACATATTCATATAGGCTATAGAATTTAGATATTAACCACACATAACAATTTTATGAATAAACATTTAAATTTTTTAAAACAGCATAAAAATTATCAATTTGAAGAAAAGAAAGACTTAAGCTGCAATTGTTACATTTTGGTATCTTAGTTTCAACATACCGTGATTATTGGTTAATCATTATTTAATTTTGTATTGTTTACTATTTAAAAAACAAACATTGTAGAGCCTAATGAAATTTCTAATGTAGTGATTCATAAGAAATTATAACATGAAAAGTTTTTAAAATAGCTAAATTGTTTTTTTTTATTGTTATTGTATTTCTATCAATACTTCCTGTATGTTTAAATTCCAATGAGACCAATGTGTTTTGAATGCTGGGGTATGTTTTTCTCTCTTGTTATGCTCCAAAGCCTGTACGTGCCAGGTATGTGAAGGTCAGTGTCAGACAACTTATGCTTGTTAGGGAAATATTTCAAATTTCAAACGCTTATTTTACAATTTTTTTTTTCAACAAGAAGTAAAATAAAATAAATTAATGACTATCCTGCAGTCTTGAGTTGTTTACTCAAAAAAATGATGGTTTTGTCAAAAATTTCTATAAACATACTACAAGAAGTGCACAATCCAGACTATTACTATTATATAAGTTTATACCATTACCATAACAACACTTAGTTTGCTTTATAATAGCATGAAAGTCCGATGACTAGGCTACACTCTTTGAGGTTAGTTTACAGAATAAAACAATTTATTACAACCAGGCCAAATGAACACTCAACAAGGGTTTTGGGCCGGAAAATAAAACAGGTCTGTTGACTAAGACAATTCAAATGCGTCAGTTTACGGCCTGTAGTTAAATACTGTTTAAATATTGTTAAAACGTATTGATACTTATTTTCAAAAAAAGTTAAATGAAAAAGAACTAGAGTCTATTTAATATACTTAAAAGAAGCTTAATCATATTGATCACACATTTAATGAATTATAAATGGTTTCAAAGTGCTAAGGTAAAAGCAAAGTAGTACATATTTTTCTTCAAACCTAGCAACCCATAGGGTATATAAATTATAGTTCTTATGTTTTTTGACCTGGTCAGATGTAGAGATGCACTAAATGCATTTGTGATGAAACAAAAATAATGTTATGCAAGTTCCAACTGTATTATTAACATACTAAAGATACACATCGTTATTTGGGTGACACCCGATCTAGCTATGGTATTGAGCCTTAGACCAAAGCACTTTATTTAAATTTTTACTACTTTCAAAGCTTTAATCTTCATGTTCTCTCAACATGGAGACAGGAAAAAGACAGACACATGGACAAAGATAACAACGTTTAGACTTGAACTCTTTTAACATAGAGCATTTTTATCAATTCCTATTACAATTTATTTAAACCGTTTTCTAAAAGGCGAAATAACGGCTAAAACTCGTTTTCTACAATTGCTTTTTTATAGTCACGTCAAACCATCTGAACCCCCCCCCCTCCCCCTCATCATTACGGACCCCCCTCTGTTGCGTCCGGGTTTAGTTCAACTCAGGAAACGATTCGTTGTTAACTTCAATACTTTTATTTGGACTCAATTCTTCACATAACAGAGTAGCCCTCGCCCTAACCGCTACCAACTAACTCTTTACAACCGTTCACTCCAGCTTTTATACCGCATTCGACCTTGACCGCCTTGGGATAATAATATATAAACACACAGGGGTTAACAATACTCTAGGGTAAACTTAACTCACACACGCACTCTCCCCTAATTCTAGACCATTCTAACCTATTTCTATCTAACCTTCAACTGCCTCATAACACCCTTCGAGTGTGACGTCATTTATGGACGACCCCCTTATACAATGTTGAAAGCAAAACCAACCCATACTTACAATTTACTAAACAATGCTTATAATCCAAACCATCAGTAACCTAACCCTTACCCTAACACAACACCAACAGATATTTTAAGTGTAATATTTTACAAATCGTCAACTTACAATTAGGATTTCCCCACCGGCCCACCCCTCAAGCTAGAAGTACGACATCACTTAGAATACCTTACAGATTTTCCTTCTTTTCCTTTTACTAATTATATTTTATTTAAAAAATAAAAAAAAAAGATTTCTAAGTTTAAACTTGCTCGGAGAATTCCAATTTCAGCTTTAAACATAACGAGCCGACCCGCAGCGTATCATACGCCGCTATTTAGTTGTTTTATTTTTTACTTTTCAGTAATTCATAATATGTGAATTCGACAGTACCAATGCTGCCACTGAAAATATTTGCTTTAAAACACTAACCCCCCTCCCCCCCTTTCCCCTAACCCCGACCCTACACCCCCCCCCCCCCCCTGTGAAAGCAGCCTCCTAATAGTTATTTCTTAGTTACCTCCTGTAAGTTTAAAATCGAACTAAATTATCTGCCCTTAATAGAAACCCGGCTCTACGACTCTACGATTTGTAAACATTTAGCTTTGTAAACATTTAGCGTGACCACAACTCACCAGACAATGTGGGGGTGGGATAGGGGTGGTAGTGATAGTGATAGAGAGACAGAGAGGGGACTGCAAGGAGGCGCTTGCTGCTTGTTTTCTAACGGCTCCCAGAAGAGAATTATATATATAGATCCGAGTGGGGGGGGGGGGGGGAGCGGACACTGGAAAAGTATGTTTTCTATATAAATCCATTTTATTCCCCCTCCCCCCCCCCTCAGAAGAGATGCCTGAAAGAAACTCTGACCCAGACATGACACAAAAAGCACGAGCAATCAAGTCAAATAAAAGCTTGTAAACATGCCCTTAACTCTGTTTCTAAATGATGATTTCAGTTTTTGTTAATTAAAAAAATAAACCGGTAGTGATCTCCCCTAAACTTTCTCGAATATTCTAATATCAAATTACGAGGGATGGTAACTCAGGACATAGACAATATTTGTTATCCATTTTTAATTACTTAAACTTTTTATAATAGAATAGAATCGCGTAAAAAATAATTGCACACCAAGTGAAAAGTTTCCCTTTCAAACCTGACGGTCTATGGGGCAAGTGAAGTAGAGTTCACTTGTTTCTGTGACCTCGGCATATGAAGAGATAGTGTGGTCAGCACTATGCCCAGCTGCCTTTACTTTCCCTAACAGGAGTTAGGTACCCATCAGAGTTGGGTGGACTCAGGGACGGTCTACTGACTTGAACTCGGATTCGAACTCGAGACTAACGGGTTAGCAGTCCAGCTCTCTACCGCTAGACCACTCCGTCCCACACCAAGTGAACGCCTAATAAAATGTGTATAAATGTGCGGGATATTATTAGTACTTTATAAATTTACATGCGTTTTTGAGAAATCGGAAATAGAGTAAATTAGTACTTCCGGTCATTGGAAATTACTCAAAATTTGACAGAAGGTAGAGAATTAGATTTTTTACTTACGTGTGAAATTTCATGCATCTATCTAAAATAGTATGCAACTTATAGGCTTTTGTAAAATTCAAAGTAGATAAAGTACCACTTCCGGTTATCGGAAATCGCTTAAAAGTTGATCGGGGTCTACGATTTTGATAAAATACTTATATATGAAATTTCATCAACCTAGCTCTAACAGTACTCAAGTTATCGTGTTTACACACGGACACACAGACAACGGACATAATTGCAAAGTCCAATTTTTACGACTCGATAACGCATAAAACGCCAAAACGTTTATATATTTGTATTATAATTTTTGCCTGATTAAAATAAGTCCTCTATTCTCCGGATGTGATGAATGACTGAGGTGTAAAACGGTGAAAACTCAAAATTTCATGTTATTTTTGTGCACGATTACAAAACTTTCTCTATACTTCGTATATACGAGAAAGTAAAAAAGACAAAATAGAAAGGGGGAGTGGGTTGAGTGGATATGGGCCTATAACGAGGGCTGAATTAAGTTTGCAAGGAAAGAAAATTAATGTGATATATATTCGCATATGCATAAAAAAAACAGAACAATGATGAAAGTAGGCCTGCTGGTTTAAAGGTCTGCTTACAAACAATTTAATTTTACAAAACGATTTATGTATAAACTGCTGTTTGATTGTTCTAATAACATTAAAAATAAAAGCAACAAATATTTTTAGAATTGTTTTTTTTTGTCAAAGTATAATACTCATAACTAATGAGACTTTAAATAACAAGGTTCATTTTAAAGCGTTGCCAAAAAATTATATATGCATTTTCAACTTTATTAGTAATATAATCATATGTTTCTTCCCATTTCGAAACTAATACTACTTTACCGTG